CAGACAGACCCCCATCCTCCCAGACAGACCCACGTCCTCACAGACAGACCTCTATCCTCACAGACAGACCCACAGACAGACATCCTCACACAGACAGTCACGTGCACAAACATACCACGTGCACAAACATACCACTCACACACACTTGCTTCTCTCTCACTCCCAGAGAGCCCCCGCCCTGTCCCCTCACGTCCGGGTGACATTTACCAGCTCTCTTGACAATGGCCTCGCCCAGAGAGGACGGGAAATAGCCAACACGGTCATTGCCCGTCCGGTTGTCATGGACACAGCCTTTCCACCGGCCGTCCGGGTGCTGCTCGAGGACCTGGCCACAGGGTACAGAGCTCAGCCTGGGGACGTCCTCCAGCCTGGGGGCGGGCGAGGGCCTGCTTCCTGGGAGCCTCCTGCCTCACCCCCTCATCCCCCCCCCCCCCCCCGCCGGCCCTGGCCCCCCACTCACTGTGATGATGTCCCCGGCCTTCACATTCAGACTGGTCAGGTCATAGCTGTTGCAGTAATCCTTGGTTGCCCGGACCTGCAGAGCCGCAGAGGCCTCTGGGGACATAGGAGGCCAAGTCCCAGTCCTATGTAGCTCACCCAGGCACCCGCCTGGCCCTCCGACCCCTCCCCCCAGGCCCACCTCGCAGTAGTTGCTTAATTTCCTTGCTGGCCTGTGACGCGGTAAACTGGTGCACAATGTCCAAAGCTGTCTGGCTGTAGGTGTTCCGTACCTGGGCATTGATCCCACTCTGCGGGGGCAGAGCAGTCCGTCAGAGCCCCCCAAACCCTCACTGCCCAGCCAAACTACCAAGTCCCACCCACCCCCGCCCCCACCTGGCCCAGGATCCCTGGCTTGTGTCCCAGCCTCCCCAGCCCCCACACCCTCAGTCTCAGCCCCATGGCCCTGCCTGGACCTAGCCTCCCACCTGGCTCTAGCTCCCCCCACCAGCCTAGCTCCAGCTCCCCTTGCCCCCCCCCCCCCCGCCCCCAGCTCACATCAAGCAGCAGCCGGACCACTTCCGTCTTCCCACAGAGTGCAGCCTCGTGTAACGCCGTGCCAGACTTGGTCTGCCGGTTAATGTCGATGCCGGCTTGTAGGAGGAGTCTGAGGAACGTAGGAGACTGAGCAAGGAGCCCACTGCCCCAGCCCTTCAGCCTGGCCAGCCCTGCCCAGTTTCCCCTGGAACACTGACTACACACTTGTCAGAGGGCCCACCCCAGCCAACACCACAGCTGATGTCTGATCCTAGCTTCGGCCACCCTGTGATGCCTACTTTGAGGTTGGGGATACTGAGGCTCAGAGAGGTTGCGTGCCTTCCTCAAGGTCACACAGTATGGCTGTTAGGCTGTAGAAGACCACCCCTAGTGAGCTCCCAGGCAGTCCCCTGTCCCAGCCGCCTCCTTAACCCTTTACACAGGCCCCCTGGAAGCCAGACTCTATCCCCACAACTCGCAGCTGCCCCTGACTCCCAAGACAGGGGCCCATCCGCACACAGCTGTACCTGATGATGTCGATGTGGCCGTTCTTGGCTGCCAGGTGTAGGGGGCTGGTGCCGTTGGGGTCGGTGGCATCCCCTGGCCGGGGTTCCAGCAGCGCCGCACACATGTTACTGCTCAGGAGGAGCTGGACCACCTTGAAGGAGGGGACAGGGTAGGGGAACCCTGGCATGGGGCAGGGATCTCAGGGGTCTGCCCCCACCTCCACCCTAGGTGGGGCGGACAGAGCAGATGGAGCGGGGGCGGGGACCCAAGCCAGCCCCTCACACTCAGCTCCAGGGGAGACTTACCCCAACGCGGCCAAACTCGCAGGCCAGGTCCAGGGGCGTCTTCCCCGAATTGTCCACGATGCAGGGGTTAGACTGATGTTGAAGCAGCATCTCAGACTGTGGGGAGCCCACCCAAGTTGTCAGGCCACACCCCCTGGCCTCAGGGCGTCCACCAGGCCACCCTTCCCGTTCACCTCCCGGCTCTCACCACATCATAGTGCCCATGCTGAGCCGCGAGGTGCAGGGGGATGTGGCCCTCGTCGGACGGTACGTTCACCGCCGAGCCCGCCTTCAGAACCAGTTTCATAGGTTCCTTTCGACCCTGCCAGGCTGCGTAGTGCAATGGCCGCATGCCTAGGGGTAGAGGGGACAATGGGAACTGACCCCTAACCCTAAGCCTGTCCGGACTTGTGACTGGGATCCCACGATGGTCTGCGCTGACACTAACAGAGACCCTGGGCTGTGACCACAATCGAGGGGCCCCACCCCTGGCCTGGAGCCTGGGCCCCAGACGCTTGAGCCATCTAGGGGCCTCTAGCTCTGACCCCGACACACTGGACTATATAGACCTCTAAGGACCTCCACTTAACCTGGCTCCTGGCCCCAGACCATCCAGTCCTTGGGAAACCCCACCACTGACCCTGGACCATCCAGGTCTTGGGGGACCCCACCGCTGACCCTGGACATTCCCTACTCTGACCCCTGGACTCCACCAGCCCTACCTTTGTTGTCCTTGATGTCCACAGCAGCCTGGGCCTCCAGCAGTAAGCAGATGAGCTCAGTGTTGCCATTGAGGGCTGCATGGTGCAGGGCTGAAAAGCTAGGGTGGGTGGCAGACAGGTATGGGAGGCGCCTGGGGACCCCCAACTCCCCACAAGTCCAGTCCCCACACCAGGCTACACACTCACCCATCTGGGTCCTGGAAATTGACATTGATCTTCTTGGTGGAGCCCAGGAGCTCTGGGGTTGGGAAGAGAACAACACAGTGAGGCAAGGCCTGCCTGGCCCCAGCCCCTCTGGGCAGTGGCCTGAGAGCAGAGGGGGTTTTACTGATGACTGGTTGGCTCTGAGGCCACATTCATTCATTCATTCATTCATTCCCTCCCTCACTCCTTCACACCCCGTGTTCTATGGACCCTGCTCTTTCTTCCATTGCACTGCACAATCAGCTCCTGGGGATAGGAGGCAGGGCTGAGCACACCACGGACACCCACACATACACAGGTACCCCTCCCTGACTGGGCGGAGCACCCTGCAGGGGTCAGGGGTCAGGGGTGAGAGCCATCCCAGTCGGTGTCTCAGAAAGACACAGATGAGTCTGGGGGTGGCAGGGGAGGCGGGAACACTAGAAATGGCATCTCACTTGGGAGAGATGGCACCTCATGGGCCAGGGAAGACCAGCCCAGGCCCAGAGCTCAAGCCATGGGCCAGGGCAGAAAGGGGCACAGATGGGTGTCCAGTACCCCCAAGTGACCAAATGTGAGGCTTTCCCTTGTCCATGTGGGCCCAGATGCTGCCAGCCTTCTGGGCCTCAGTCTCTTCCTGCCAGAGGAGGGGCGCCTCCATGCCCTCCTACCCGTGGATTCAGCCCAACCGGACTTTGGCCAAGCCACTGCCTGGCTGGGCCACAATTATATAATCCATTTGTGGGTCAGACGCTCCATGAGGGCGGGGGGCTGGCAGGACAGAAGCCCCTTTGTCTAGGGCCAGGATGGGGTGGGGGGAGGGCCTGAGGGCAGGGGGAGCCAAGAGAACAGCCACAGAGAGGTTGGAGCTGTGGGGCCCTCAGCACCCGAGGAAGCCAATAAAGGCAGGTGGATCCACCACGCAAGAGGCCTCCTCCCTAGCTTGAGATGTGGTTTGGGTTTGGTGGGTGGGAGCAGGGAGGACCAGCCTGGAAGAAGAGCATGCATTAGTAGACATGAAGGGCAGGGTCTGGCAGGAAGTCAACATCTGGGAATTGGCAACTACTAATATTAGCTGTTGGAGGCCTGGGGTGGCGCTGTGGGTTAATGCGTCAGACTGCAAAGCTGTTTGAACTACAGGGTCGGTGGTTCAAGCTCACCAGCTGCTCCTTGGAAACCCTATACAGGGTCTCTATGGGTCGGAACCAACTCGATGGCACTTCACAACAACATTAGCTGTACAGGAAGTACACCCCTACCGTGGGTCAAGCCAGGGGTTTCTCCTCCAGGAACAGACAGAAGGCCCTAAAGCAGGAGGCGTTCCCAGCCTCCCCTGTGTCCTCCCCCACAACTCAGACACCTTCGCTGGCCGCCGATGGGCCATTGCCCTCCCCTGGACCGGCCACTCAGCCAAAACCCTGGTGTCATCCCTGACCCTTCCTTTTATCACTCTGTCTTCTCCATCAGCAAACCTTGTTGGTTCGGCCTTCAAGATACACACAGAACACACTCTGATTTCAATTGCTCCTCACACCCTAGTCAGAGCCCCCCACCTCACTGGTACCCCTGCTTCTGCCATACCCCCCATCTGTCTGTCTTCCACACCCACCTCAATCTGGCTAGGGGGGGGGGAATGCTGTTAGAACATCCACTAGAACCTCTTCATCCATGATTTTCACAGCCCTGCTCCAGCCACTAGGGCCTC